TAATAATAATAATAAAACATAGGCCCACAATGAAGTAGTATCATTAAGAAATTCACATATTAAACTGAAGTTTTATTAACAAAATGACAATTTTGTTTATAAAATTTGTAACGCAAATATAATGGATTTCCCCTTTTAAAACGATCGTAGTTTGTGGTTCATTGTTATTAAAACAGATCAGTCATAAAGTAGTACAATGGCAAATTCGCATTTATTAAACCTCTAACTCTTATTAACAAATTGAAGAAGACGGAGCCTATACTTGCGTTGTAACCCAAATAAATAAGGTTTCCCTTATTTAAAACGAATGCTTAGTTTGTGGTTCATCTTTGTTTTTTAATGAAAACACAGCAACAATAAAGACCAACTCAGTTATTTTAAACGAAGAAATGAAACGTTTATTAACAAAAGTTCTCTTGCGCTTTTGGATCCGCCACCAGTCATTTCGCTTCACTCTCGTCACGTGACTCCTGCAGCTCCGAGCTGCTTGGAACAGACGCGCGGCGCCTCAGAACTGTGGCGTCCCATGTCCAGCTGAACTAAATTGATTTTATTTTTTTATTTCTTGTAACACCGACTACAGGACAAAGCCTGTGTACTGCACTTATAACTTCGCTCCTGGGAAAACTCGACCCTCAGCCCCCCCTGCTCAAAATACGTTCCCGCGGCTATGAAAGCAGGTGGCAGGGACAGAAAAAGTATCAGTATTTCACAGCAAAACAGTGCTTGCCATACCAGAAGAGCCAAGTACCAACTCAGTTCGGACTGCTTTGAAACAATGTCATGGGTATTTGTGCAGACACTCTGTGAGCATTAATACTGAACTTCTTAAAAGAATGAGAGTGTTCAACAGCATACTGTTTTTTGTTGTGCTATCAAAATTTGTATGAAGGATTGTAAAATTTCCCTAGTACTTTTACCTGATTTGCTAAATCCTTTAGTGAATCAGGTGCTAAAACAATGCAGACGACGTGTGCGCATAAATAACTGTATCAGTAGGCGCAATTTATTCTTAGTGAATGCTTCAAGCATGCGGATGTGTTTGTTCTGACTTACCCAGTAAGCACCACTACAAAGTCCATGACATTCCAGCCATTGCGTAGGTACGAGCCCTTATGGAAGGCAAAGCCCAAAGCCAAGATCTTAATGCCTGACTCGAAACAGAAAATGCCGATGAAGTAGGGTTCTGTGTCCTCCTGTGAGAGAGGAACACAAAGGGACGGACAAAGAGAAATAAGAGTGTGTAAACATGAATTAACCCCTGGATTTCTGCAAAAAGAGTGATACATCAGAGACCAATTAGATCCTGTGTTTTCTGCTGAATTACATGGCTTCTGGTTTTACAATATACGGAAACAAAGAAAGACTGATCAACACAACCGGAACTCACCAAGCGCTCTGACATGGGTGTCTTGTCCCTTTCTGGAAGGTGCTGTTCCAGGGCCAGGACGATGCAGTTGGCGATGATGGTAGCCAGGATCATGTACTCAAATGGAGTGAGAATCACAGGTCAAGGAAAACGTTTAAAACAACAGTTTTGCAAAGGACAGATGGCTGACATTCCAGAAAACAACATGTATAAAATATAAACAATATAAATATAATAATGAATAATAAATATAAATATAAATTCATATTTAAAAATATCATATTAAATGATAAATAGATCACATATATATAAATTCAAGTATTCTGTATTGTGGAATTGATGTAAATATTTTTTGCAGCTTCTAAAAAGCAGTACTAAAAAATGTTTTGTGATCTTATTTTTAAGATTTAATCCCTTTATTTTAAAAAAATGGTAAAACAACTTGCAGACTCTTTAAGGGATATGTAAACTTAGGAGCAACTGTACTGGCTCTCTAAACCTCAGTGAAGAATCAATACATCTGATACTGAGAGGGCAGACATTCAAACAATCTCTCTAACCTGATTACTTCGCAAAATCACATTAAGTCCCTTGCACTAAATACAGGTCAAGGTCATATGCAGCAGTGGTTTTACAGAGGTTAACTGAGAATCAAGTCCAACCTCACTGAGAAAATGCTTCACAAAGCAAACGTAGCATCATGCTCACCCTGCATGGACCAAACAACATCAAGCAGCATCTCCTTGCGGCTGGCTGAGCCTGGCGAATAAGCTGGTATTCATGCTGAAGTAATACATGCTGTAGATGAGTATGAGTCAGGCATATTATGTATGCTTTAAATTACCTCATCACTCGCCACTTATATTTACTGCAGGCCAATTTGTGTATGTGTGCATGTGTGTTGAGAGCCAGCACAAGCTTAGAAGTTTAGAGTCTTCTGTGTGATTCAAAGTGACATGCCTCTTTGGCTCACTATACACAAGAACTTCAGGGTGGGTAAGATTTGGCTATCAGGACTGATACACACACACACACAAGCTCTGTTAGAAAACCTAGAGAGCTATGCAGATGGTATTTTCAAATCGCAACATAAAAGAGGGAGCAACACATCGTTTATTTTTATGTTATGATATTTGGAATAAAAATGTGTCAAAAAAATGCACAGATTAATTGTTCATAATAAGATAAATAACATGCATTTAAAGAATAAACAGAGTGAACTTTAATTTCATGCCTGCCGGTGTTATTTTATTATTACTATACTATTATAGTTTTTAATAATATTTTGAATTTTTAGATTTAACATTTGAGTAATTTTGTTAAGTGTTTTTGTCAGTTTTATTCATTTTTTAATGTCTATGTAGTTTTGTTCTTTTTATGTCAGTTTAAATTTTTGTTATTTGAGTAATTCAACTTAAACTAAACAAAAATTAGAAAGTTGCCTTGGTCAGTTTTTTTTATACTTTTCACTTAACATTTATTTTATTTTAAGAAATGAAAATGCTGTTATGGTTTTAGTTTTAGTTAACAATATTAGCCGTTATGCTGACTTTAATGCATCTCCCAATGCAAAGGCTTTACCAAAAAGGTTGGCAACTTAATTTTGCCACTTTCCAAGATACTCGTTTTGAACTAATTCTAAGGCAGAATATCACATTTGCTTTATGACTACATGACACAAACCCAGAATGCATTGCAGTGAGCTCAGTGCAAAAATCTTTCCAGAGAGAAATGTCAATTAAAATTATAATCCATTCAATACCAAAAACAACCTAATTAAAAACTCTCTGTTTTTATTTGTGTGTGCTATGCATTTTTATGCCTTGTTTGTATCTTGAATTTACTGAAATACAATTAAAAATAAAAATATTTAGACCGAGACTTGTCATTTGCACTTATATATTGTTGCTCTTTTGTTAGTTTTGACTGCTTTTATTGTCCTCATTTGTAAGTCGCTTTGGATAAAAGCGTCTGCTAAATGACTAAATAAATAAAAATAAATAAAAAAATAAATTCAAAGCAGGCAATGCATTCTGGGAAATGAAGTGTTTTTCCAACGTGGTCCACAAAAAATATGCTATACCTATAAATCTCTAGACTGTCAATCAAGTCTTCCTGAAGCCAACATTTAAAGTTTATCTTGACAAAGTTGGCTTTTCTAGTTAAAAATTACAGTTATACAAATTTCTTTTGATTTTAATTGTCCTTCCTTACACTGAGTTGAAGTTTACATACCGTTTGCTACCTCAGTTCAAATTCAGGAATTTAAAAGGCATGCTTAATTCAGTTTTGAATGACACAACCCACACCACATTGGCCTGTTGACCTCCAGAGACAAAAATCACCATCAGAGAGTGAACAGGTTGTAGTGTGTAAAACAGCATGAGGCTTTAAGGAGAAAAAAGGGAGAATGATTCATTATAGTGTGGCATTAGCTGAAATATCTGTCGAGGCAGAGAGAGAAGGAGAGATCAGGCCGGCTTTCAAAGGCTCTGTACAGTAAAGACTCCAGCTCCTGTAATACCCGGCAGTCCGTCCAGCATTACAACACATTAACACCCTCAGTGCCTTTTAATTAGCCTGCCTGGCCCCTGCTCCGAGTGTGTGTGCATGTTCTTCCACATGCATGCGTAATAATATCAGTGTTGTCGTGTGTGATCATTCTAGTGTCTAATTTAAATACTACTGTTTGTGTGCGTGAGGGTGTGCGTTCGTATGCCCACTGGGATGATGAAAGCAAAAGTGGTGCACTCTTCTTCTATCTCTAGAAGGGTGGATGAATGGACACCTTGTTCCCGCTCTAGAGGCCCGTGTGTGTGATATGGCTGCAGAGTGTGATGTGGCCGAAGTATGTGTTTTGGTGCTTTGAAGACCCGTCCCGCTCTCACTCTCTTGCGTTGTCAAAAAGGTGCCCATTTAAAGACAGGATGAACATGAGACAATGCTATGATGTGCTCCGCCAGAAAACTTTAATTATGAACCCACCTTCCTCCCTCTGCACAACACTATATATAGCAATACCATTGAGATAAAAGTAAGCGGGAGACAAAGGAAGGGAGAAACGGTCTTTTCTCTGCCTGTGTGCATGTGTTTAAAGCAGCGTCAGTGGCTTGTGAATGCTATCTGGATGCTCTGAGAGGTCATTCCTGTTAGGAGTGAGGTGACAGCTGGTACAGGAGGTCAGGATGAAAACTCTCACAATGCAGGGGTCTTAACATGGTAGGTTATTCTGATGCCTCCCAAGATACCTAGTTTTCCACAAATTCTACATCAACAGCGAATGTATCCTTTGTGAAAAAACACAATTCAAGAACGCAATGTGCAGAGATTAGTGGGAAATTTTTTTTATCCAAGATGGTGGATGAAGCAAAGAAAAGGCTTATTATAAATATGCTTTTCAATATTTTAAATACAATTAGTTCATTTAAAAAAGACAGAGATTTCATAAAAATGATTTAAAATAAACTACTTTAAAATATATTTGTGTATGTAGGCAGAGAGAAATGAAAGGGGTGGTTCAGTGTTTTTTTTCTAGGCTTGATTGTGTTTACGTCCATGTTTAACGCTTCTCATAGCTATGTGAAAATAAGTGTATAATTGTAACTGTTCATTGCTGGATCTGAGCTGAATGAGAGAGAGAGAGAGAGAGAGAGAGAGACATGCAGAGCGTGTGCAGAGCAGGGGGACGTGTGGAACAGTATTAAGAACCGCTTTGGTTTTGAAACTTGTGAATCCATTAGAATGGTTAGAAGACAGAATCGCGATTCATATATGAATAGATTTTTACGTGCACCTCTAGTTTTCTCTTCCTCTTTTCTAAAGCATGGCCTCGTCCCCTTTGCTGCCTTTTCCCGAGGGCGGGGGTTTATCTGGGTTTGTGATGTCACGAACCCGGGAAGTAACTTGTTGTAGTCCATACCAGCCATTTTTGTAAGCATTAAACTGCCAGAATTTTAAAAGACGATATCTCCATTTGCACTGAACTTTCAGCTTTGTAACTTTGCAGATCTTGTTTATGCTCAAACAGCAACATTACACACTAACTAACGTTAAAAAAGTCAAATCGCAATGAACCAACCCGTTTAATACTTTAATTTAGCAGGTGTTGCATTAAACTGTGAAGACATTTATAACATTACAAAATATTTTTATTTCAAATAAATGGTGGTCTTTTGAACTTTCTATTCATCATTCTGAAAAAAAAAATATTAATAAAAATATTAAGCACTTCAACTGTTTTCAACACTGACAATAATAAAATAAATGTTTGTTGAGCACCAAATACTGAAGGATCATGTGACTGAAGACTGGAGCAATAACTGCTGAAAATTCAGTTTTGCCATCACAGGAATAAATTACATTTTAAAATATATTCAAATAGAAAACACTTATTTCGATTGTAATAATATTTGACAAGTTATTACTGTTATTAAACTAATAAAAGCAGCCTTGGTGAAAATGATACTTTCAAAAACATTTTTAAAAAAAATTCAAATGTCCTGTACTCATCTTTTCCCTCTGAATCTATCGTTCTCACACTCTCCCATCATCCTATGCATCACGTCAATCTCTTTCTCCATTCCTTCCTCTCTCTGCCCTGTCCCCTCAGTCTGCTGCTCCCTCGCTCTATACTTCTCCCACTGAACCTGTGCATTCATCATCTCCCTCATCAGCCCATCTTCATTCAGCCAAGTGCAGTCTGCACCGTCAGCACAGCCGCCTGACACACCGCTCCACAGAGAGATGGATGGAGAGAGATGGAGAGACAAGTTGAGACAAGAAAGACTGAGTGAAGGAAAAGAATATAATCTGCAATGGGACCAAAAAACAGAAAGATTCAGATGAAGGTGGAGGACACACACAGGGAGGCATTACACAAGAGAGACAGATTTTGATCTTTGAACAGTTTGAAAAGAGTTGGTAAACTGAAGTTGCAAAAGTTTACGTCAGCATGAAATTAAAATCCACCTATTCATGAAATTTTTCAGCTGCATGTGATTTTTTCATTTATTTATTTGTTTTATTTTGACCTTATAATTTTTGATTAAGCTGGATCTTCCAATGAAATGACAGACTTCTCTCTGGTGACGTATGCCAGACTTCTCCAAACATTTAGTTTCCATTAAA